AGAAATAGATTGTTTTAATGTTTTCAGCACGAAATAGAGATAGAGAAAGCAGCTGTTTCCCGTAGGGAGGGAGATTGGAAAATGACACCTCATAAATCGGAAGCGTGCCCAGCCCAGCTTTTAATGCTACCCGAGTACGGCTTGATAGAGCCCGTGTAGTCGCCTTGGGCCTACGAATTCTTCATGGCCAACTAAAAAGCAGGATAACTGATGTTTTGTAGCGAGTTTTGATACCTGAATGCTGTGAGAGTAAAGAATGCATATAGTTCATATTTTCACTGTGCAGGTTTCTTGATAATTTTCGGATGACAGTGATGAATGAATTACAATGCCAGTAAAAAATGCTATGAATTGAGGTTAAGTAGGAAAAAAAGAGTTTTTCTGCAGCTTTTTGTAAATTAGGTTGAATGGCGCTGGACCAGGTTTTTGATGATTTCCAATCTATTGATGATTTAATTCGTGCCCAGGAATAAACATTAGAAGGACCGTTACGAAAATGCACAATATAGTAATCAATGGTTTTAAAAACGTCTTATCATGAGCAATCTATAGCTACCTTTTTTGAAGTTTCAAACTGCAGCTTTGAAAAACTTCATCATTTAATTGCCCAGGAAAAAAGTTGTGAAAATGATAATCATAGTGTTTTTTGTATTTAACATTAGGAGACTGCCCAGTCAACTTGCTTTTGTTTGCGGCATAGTAGTTTGAACTGAAGCCAAAAGAAAAAACACATCCTACACTGTAATTAACTTTTTCAATGATTGAATCAAAGTATTCTTATTTCAATTCTGTATTCAAAAATTAATGCAAAAACTTCTACAGATCTTTAGTTCTTTGTATGCATACCCGGTTTGATGTCGTGGTTTTATGTTCAGACAGTGTGGATCAGACAGTGTGGAACAGTGCTTTTTGTTCAGACAGTGTGGATCAGACAGTGTGGATCAGACAGTGTGGATCAGACAGTGTGGATCTTTTATGTTCAGACATTGTGGAAAAGTGCTTTTTCAGACCGTTGCGAGCATAATGTGCTATGTTTAGACCAGGTAGAACAGAAACTGCTACGTTCAGATCGTGTGGACTGAGGGAATTCAAATTCAGACCATGTGGAATAAAGAAATCGGGATTCAGACCGTCTGGACCAAAAAAATCCGGATTTATATTTAGACTTTGCTGACTGTGACGTGCAATGCAACTATGAACTTTTGGTCCCAACGCGAATTATTTCAGATTTTGAAGCCTGAAATAAAAAAATTACAATTTCGATCCGGGTGGGACAGTTTTCAGGCTGCAGCATAAATTTCTGTAACAGTGCCGACTTTGGATAAGAAAATGGAATAATTATGCTCGATGTGGTTTTTTTTACGCGAAAGTCGAATTTTTGACAATACATTTTTAAACAGAGCTCAAGTAACATCTGAAAATTTTTACAGATGCAATAAACTTTTTCTCCAATTCTATGCTAGGTTCTTCAGTACATTTGGGATTAGATTCAAATCACGTCAGTTCGGCGAATTTAAAATCGCATTGTTCTCTAATTGTCATCTTGACTAAACGTAGAAGAAGATTAGTCAAGATGACAATTAGAGAACAATAGAGGACAATTAGAGGGTGAAGAGGACAATTAGACTATCACAGAGGAGTTATAATAACGTGAACGACCATTAAGAAGCAGAGGACAATTGTGATCATAAAAAATTTCCTTCATTTAAAAAGAATACTAAATCAGCATCTCGGTGGTCAAGTTGATTTTTCGACTTAACAAATTGAAAAAAAATGAGACTTTGAACTGAAAGTATGGTCTTAGATATAATTTATGTTAGTGATGAAAAACAGCGACTTGACAAATCAAAAGAAAATGACATGGCGTTCAAAGTGTTGATTTGTTGAAACAATTTGCTTCACGAAAAGGAACTTCGTTTTGAGCTGGTGTACAGCTTTTGCAAAGAGATGTAATTGGGCTCTTTTCAGTATTTCACCTCTCACGAGCATCAATTTTGCGACGTCAAGGTGTAACTAAATTATTTTAAAGGTAAGCTCAAAACCAATTATGTTTGTCAAGCCCAATCATTCCACATGTCAATTTTCATAAACAGCGGACAATGGGAACAAAATTTTTTTTTGTAAGAAATTGAAGGTAGTGGAAAAAGGAAATTCTGAACATTGTTCCCCGCTTTCAACAAAGTGACAAAAAATTTTAACTGGTGGTTGTTTTAGCAGACAACTTTCGACTTTACTTTTATTTAGCCATACTGACAAGCCTTGTATCTAATCTCAAATCTACCGATGAACTGAGCATAGAATTAAAGAGATGTATCGCGTTTGTCAAGAAATTTCAGATGTTACAAGAAACTCCGTTTTAAAATGAATTGTTAATAAGTCGACTTTCGTATGAAAAAGCCACATCGAGCAAAGTTATTTTTTTTGTCATATCGAAAGTCGACACAATAACAGAAATCTAGGGTTTTATGCGTTAAACGGCCCAAAAATCAAAATTGAAGCAAAATGAAAACTAAAACTGAAACTGATCCTGATTGGCTAATATTAGCCAATCAAATTCGAGCAACTAGGTCAGCCATTTCGATTGATACTGAGATTAATCCTGATTGGCTCGTATAATATGTAATAACTGAACCAATTAAATGTTGATTACGTGTTTTCAATCTGAAATAAAATTTCTGACTATTTTCCTAATTTTGGGCCGTTCAACGCATAAGACCCGAAATCTGTGCTGCAGCTTGAAAACTGTCCTGATCTGGTCGAGGTAATGATTTTTTATGTTCAAACTTTAAAAGGCGTTTGAAGTTTGCTAATTTGGCAAACTTGGAATAATTATTGTGCGCAGTAGCCGCCTGTGGAAGGGGATTAACGCCTTTTCTCACTCTCAATTATTGAGTACAATTTTGTTTACCATTGGATGGGGGCTAGGAAATTAGGCGATAAGCAGATTAGACGTGACCAACAAAGCGAATTTAGACATTAAATTGTTTTTGCAAAACTAGCATTTTAGATAGAAAGCAAAGGGCTATAACAAAAGTTATTGTTTAAAACAAGTTTTCATAATTACAAAAATAATATTTGATCCCATTGCATATCAAAATATTTATCTGAATTGATTTATAAAATGTTAATTTCAAGATTATAGAACATTTTTGAATTGCATAAAATTTTCAATTGCGGCATGTGAAAAATGCGGAATGTGAAAATTGCGGCATGTGAAAAGTTGATTTGCATTTAAGAAAGCTGAACGAAAGTTTAATTGTATTCGGTAAAGAAATTTCAGACACGAACAATACAATTACGTCTAATTTCCCATATTTGTTATTTTGCATCGACGTCTAAATTCATTTTTGTTGGTCATGTCTAATTTGCTTTTTGTCTAATTTTCTAGGCCCCTCCGCGTACATTTTTACTAAACACACTTCGGAGACATAAAAATCAAGTTTTATCAATAGCAACTTCGGCGTCTCATCAAAGGTTAGTCTTCATCCAATTAGGAGCCGTGTTTTTCACGCCTAACTGTCAATTCAGAAGCGCACCTGTCAGTCACAAAAAAAGCGTTGTTTTGCGTATATTTTTTGTGCCTTTATTTTCCTGATTTCAATTTTTGTTTCAAAAAAAAAAATTTTGTTTTAAAAAATAAAACCGCCCCTCGAAAAAATTCTAATCACAACACTGAATGCATAATAAATTGCGTTCACACAACACTCGTAGCCGCCAAAATAAATCATGGCAGTGGAATTTTTGCGAGCGATTTGTTTGCTTGAACACAGCTCACTAAACACATCCGCCTTTGTAATTTGCAAGGAGCAGACAGAAGCTTTGCCCTGAAGTACAAGCAATATTGTTCGTAATTACGGAGCACAAGATTCGTGTTCAATAATGCTAAATTTTGCACCTAATAGCAACCCCCACCGAGCGCCCATGGATTCTAATCAATTATAATGGATTCCCGAGACAAAAATAATCCATTAAAATCAATTAAAATTGTAAAATTAAGACCAAAGACCACGAAATCAATTATGTTGCCATTATAATCGATTATTTTTGAAAAAAGTAATCCATTATAATCCATTATAATCGATTATAATACATTATTTTTGGCACTGAAATTTAACATTTTTGCCAAAACAAACCATTACAATTGATTTTTTTGAAATAAAATCCACCATTATTGATTATCGTCAATTTTTTATTTAGAACTAAATTCGATTATTTTTGCAGAAATTTGGCAATTTTTGAAGGAAATTTGCAAAATTTAAGCCATGCCTTTTACTAAATGCCATATCTCAACGTCAACAGCTCAATTTTTACCTCCCGCAACTAATGAGGTGGGGGGGGGGGGATAAACTGGGGGGTTTCAATCATGAACCCCCCTCCCAAATTCTACCAATGAAACCCCGTGATCAACTATAAGGGGGCGAATGAGAGTGGCAGTTGTGATAAACTGGAAGGGGGTTAGGCGGTGGTGGGGTAAAGTAAACTGGGGAACGGGGGTAAAGTAAACGTGTATAAGGATTATAATCGATTATGTTGACATAAAAAATATTGATTATAATCCATTTACATTTTCAATGAATTATAATCGATTAGTTTGTAAATTTCTAGATACTGGCCAAATTTGACAGTAAAATTGATTATGATCCATCGGCACTCGGTGCAGGAAGTGAATTGCAAATGATTTTAAAACATGATTTTAAAACACGCAACTGAACTGCTAGTGTTTCAATTCCAGTAGTGAAATTGCTGGATCCACCATACAACTCTCCGCTAAATGACCTACGTAAAATACCCTCCCCAAGCATGGGGATTTCTGCAAAACATTTTTTGTATAAAGAACACCTTAAATACAAAACGGCGCAACACGCTATCATTGCCATGACGGTGGATCGATTACACTATCTGACGATCTCAAAGTGAACGCCTTACCACTATGCTAAGTGCCTCTATGCTAAATCGCTGATAAATTGCAGAGTGAAGGATCGCAAGCAGTAATAAAACTATGACGAACTAAAAATCAAATAATTCTTCAAGCTGATAATTAAAGTTGCCAAATAGATAACTGATAATATTTACTGCTGCTGATAACTTCGTGGATTGTAATGTGAAGATGCATATAAAAATACAAACACCATTTACTGTGATTACGAGCATTAGTGTAGCGATTAACGCGAGTACCTTTTGACAAGTGCATTTTTTTTTTAAAATCTTGCTCTCAATTAATCACTACCTCAGAGAAACTGATTTTTACAACTACAGTGAAACAGATTTTCTCTCGAGGGGGGGGGGGGGGGGGGGGGGGATTTTCATTTTTTTTCTTTGGTCGACCTTTTTTCTTAGGTCGACCAAATTGATTTTTTGATTTTCTCTCCCAAATCAGTACTTAGACCCTATTTTAACAAAATGTTTGCGCCGCAGGCAAGTGCCTAAAGGCGTCTTTAGACACTTTTTGAAAAATTTTGAAACTCGCGTTTTTTTGCCACCCCCCCCCCCCCACTTAAAAATAGTAAATATTGGCGCCTAAGGCGCCCTTAGAAAAAGTCTGCCAAAAATGAAAAGCTCAAAGTAGTACAAATGGGGACCCTTTGGGTCGTCAAGGAGTCGAATCCCTGAGGGGGATTTGACCCCCTAAATCCGCTGGTATTCTTTGGCATAGCTTATGCTAATAAACAAAGCTACCAGGCCCAATCACGTAACTACTTTTGATATAAAACGAAAATACACATAATTGTGCTGTGAAACTAAAAGTTACGCTTAACCGACGCTATTCATGAAAGTTTTTTGGGTTTAAATTGGTTCGCAGTCGCCCTCTTCGTTCAAAATAGTAGTTCGGACAATAATTTCCGAAACTGCGTACGGGTCACAGTTAGCGGCGGGCCTTCGGTCTTCTAAGTACCCGCATTTCTCGGCTTCGCAATGTCTAGGAATCCGGATACTCGAGCCTCGATTAGCGACACCAGACGAAAACTCTTTGTAACTCGCCGTTTCGTAGGCACCTACAAGTCTTCGTTTATTATCCTCACCCGAGCTTGCGTCGTATGCTTTTAGATGGACATTTGGTCGTTTCCTAAATTTTTCAATCGCCTTAAACATTTCTTCGATTCCGTTTGGTTGCCGCATCGCAAGGGTTGAGTAATTAGTATGGCACCCAGCACCATTCCAATCACCCGAAACAGGTTTGGGGTCAAAGGTTATACTACAGTTGAAATCTTCAGCCACCATTTTGAGGATGTACCTCGACATCCAAAGATGATCTCCGATTTCGATGCCCTCGCAAGGACCAACTTGGTATTCCCATTGACTCGGCATAACTTCCGCGTTCGTCCCGCAAATTTTGACTCCGGCGTATAAACAATGATGTAGGTGAGTTTCAACCACTGCGCGACCGAATACTTTCCCAGAGCCGACTCCGCAGTAGTAAGGACCTTGGGGTCCGAGATATCCGCCCCGTGGCCACCCGATAGGGTGTCCTGCTTGCTCAAGGATGGAGTACTCCTGTTCGATTCCGAACCAGGGTTTGGCTTCTTTGACTTCGGGTTTATCCATTGCTTCGAGACACGACACACGACTGTTTCCGACAGCTGGCGTCCAATCAAAATTGAATACATCGCACAAGACCAGGACGTTATGTCCCAGTCGGAAGGGATCTAAAATCAACGTCCCATGCTTTTAAACTTCTTTCTGGTTCGCTGAAAATTTATAGAAATGAAAACAAGCATACGCTATAACAATTTTTGGATTCGAAAACTTCCAATCAGTCCATGATTTTAGTGTTTTCTATCCATATTTCTATTTTACCCCATTTTTTGATAGTTATATATAGCAGAAAATTAATTTTAATGCCAGTTTAAAATTAACCGACATATGTTAAAGAACGCATTTCGCTCTTTGCACTTGAAAAAAAAACATTCAAGTTACATTATATTGGGCTCCTAGCACAAAGCTGTGGTCAAATATGGTCAAAGTGTGGAACATTTACGCGCGCGGTACTACTATGATAGAGTGGTCCCCCGAAAAAGCAACTATGATAGACAGGTCCCGCATGCATTTCGCATGTTATAATATTGAAAACTAATTTGTGTATAAATTATTCATTTCAAAAATCTTGCAAAATATGTTCAGCCAGAAACTTTTCAGATTGAAAATTGTAATCACTATTGTTTATATATTGAAATTTGCTCGCTTTACTTTATTTTACGGTTCAACAACCATATAATTGGGTTGACTTATTTGACATCAAAACCCACTATTGGCGTTTTTTTTTTTAAATTTTCAACCTTAAAATGCTGAGGGAGAGGTTTTAAGAGGTAACAAAACATAAAATTTGTTTGAAAATATACTGCGACATCTCTCGAAAGGCGTAATCATAATTATTAAACGACTTGAGAGCTCTAGGTGTCGTATTCTCAAGGGACCTGGGTATTTTCAAGGGACCACTATCATAGTAGTACCACGCGCGCCACAAAAAAAATTAGACAAGCTTCCATCTTGTCTATTTATGTTATTTGATAGAATAATGTGCAATCATACGTCGGACCCAATTCGTTTCCTTAAAGGATCAAACGCTGGGATCTTCTATATGGCTTCTATGGAATCATGCATGTGATGCGACTTATGATTTCAAATTACGGTCGAACCGGTTACCTTTGAATACGGCTCTGGGTTTGATCCAGCAATCGCTGTTACGTCCAGTCGCCTGCTCAGTTGAAGACCCGTCAAAGTTCCACACAGGCGCATCAGAGGGGTTTATAACTCGCCTTTCCAGCACTCGTGACTTGCTTCGCAGTCCTTGTTCGGCGTCGATCCAGACATAAGTCGCGATATATTTGTCGCTCGGCATGTCGTTCTGGGAACCCTCGGTAAAGGCTTTGAAAGTGTTATTAGAGTTGGTTGCTAACATTTGGGCTCTGAAGGTCTAAGTTTGATTTTACGCTGAAGTTCTGCTTATTTAATTCTTGTCTCTCTCGATAGGTCGATTCTAAAATGACGTCACGCAGACTAAAGTTTGTTCACGCGTCCGTTTAGTTATAAGAGATTCGGTGTTTGTTCACGCCGCAATTTTATGTGCTGGATTGTCAAGAGGAACCAAATGTTCCTATATCACATGAACAATTTAACAAAAAAAATAAAGGAGTATTGGAATAACATACAATATAAACTCACCACTTGCTTTCGCCACTATTTCGTCCAAAATTGTATTAAATGAATAATATCCCGGAATCATTCTATTGCGGTCTGTTAAAGGGAACAAACCAATAACACTTGTGACATGCTTACTTATCGCCAAGCACCAAATAAACAAAAACTTAACACTAAGCTTAAATGTAATGTCGGCTTTTTCCTGTCCCTGGGAAAGCTGAAGAAAAGCTTTAAAAGCAATCCAAAGCTAATATTTACGAAACAGAGACTGGCTTCCCTGATCTTACCGACGACAAAATTCAGTAGCATATTTGGAGTCTTGTTAGCTATCTCTGAATCATGTTAGCATAACAGCCTCCCCGGAGTGCGGTCTGTATTTAGACATCCGCAGATTCATGCTCGTCGGTAAGCAGACTAATACGTCCTCATGCTTTTAATTTTAGCTTACTTTCAGCCAATCAGAATTGAGTATTCAAAATCTCAAAATAAATCGTGAAAATCTCAAAGTAAGAAAATAAATCCACGCCATGAGTGTTAATATTGACCGATTAGATAATAAGCAGATGAGTTTTCAAGACTGAAAAATTCGTATAATTTATTAATTAATTTTGATGATTATCTGCAGAGTATTGGGTTGTAACCCGCAATTCGTAATTTTTTCGATTGTTTTCCACTGATTTAATACATTTTCTGTTGATATTGACTTCGATTTTGTGAGAAAGGCATTTAGCCAATAGAAACGCTTGGCGATTTTGATCGGTTGAAATTTTTCAAGCATTCGGTCCTTCAAGCATGAGAACCCTCCCCCTCTTCCTTGTCTCGATTCTGATTGATTTATATAGTAATTGTCTGCTTACTGACGAGTATGAATACGCGGTTGTCTGAATACTGGTACATAAACATCCTCCACGTTTAATATGAATTAAATTCGTTAAATGCTGCGTATGAAATGCTCAATTCTAATAAGCTGAAAAATTCAATTGAAAAAAAAAATTGACACTCCTCCCGCTAAAAACTGATGGAGTTTACAAAAAATGCTTGTCATACAATTCCATACTATGAACAAGGATAGCCTTTAAAAATCTACGAAATTTTTTTTTCAAATTAGTGTTGTTTTTTTCTGCGTTCTTTGATTTATGTTCTGACGTGAAACTATAAATTAGACATAGTCGACCGTCATAGTAATATAGGTAAACAGGATAACACTTTATGAAGAAAAGTGACTAGAAAAAAAACGAAAAAAATCGAAACAAAAATCAAAATTTTAAAATTTTATCGAAGTTTTTGCTTCCCAAAATGCTATTAAAAATCTTCAAAAACTAATTTTACTCGAGGAAATTTAAAATTAAGCAAAAATAAGCTATTGTAAACAGTCTAAGCTAAGCATAATTAAACGAGCTCGTCGCTTTACTCGCTCGAATTTAGACGAAAAATCAAAAAGTTCAAACCGGTTTTTCTCGACACAATGAAACTTTTTACGAAAATTATAAATGTGGGTTAAATTACGACTGACGGGGCTTTAAAATAATACATCACTCGAAACTTTCCGATGCTTATTTGTGTTACCTCCCAAATTGGAAGCCGGAAGACGAAGTTCCTTCCCACTATCTCGACACGTGGAAAAAAAAAGAAAAAAACTAAAACACCCGAATAAATAATTACTCCCCATTTTTCAAGTGATCGGAACAAAACTATGCTTGTATACAACTACTTAGAACTCTATAGACTACAAATTTGTATAAAAATATCCTGATCAGCATTTTCCTTTTTTATGGATTTGTATGATAGATATTTTTTCCCAACTATGGATTTCTGTCAACATTTTTTCCAGAATTGTTTTGTGTTTCGTCGGAATATATCTCACAGAATATCTTTCATTGTTATTTTTGTTTTCAGAATACGTTTTGATTCTCCATTTGCTTCATGACTTTTTTTTTCACCTTGGCTAAAAAACGAGAAAAAGTTTTATTTTCACCGACTGATGCCGAAATACGAGATAAAGTTTTTCACACCGGAGATAGTTTTTATTGCAAATTTACGAGTTTCAGAAAGTGCTATTTTGGGCTATTTATTGTACGCTAGTTTTTGAATCTGTCAGTACTTCAATTAGTCAATAAATCAAAAACAGTTAGAGAATATCAGTAAGCACTTATATATTAATATTCCATCTCAAAACAAAAACAGGAAAATTAACATAAATAGAAGGACTATAAATACCAAGCTAGACCAGTGTAAGAATTGTTTTGGACTTTCAAAAACTTAAAAAATATTTGTTTGAAGTGGCTTTTCATTCAGAACAATATTAAGAACAATATTTTATCAGCAAATATTTTTTCTGTGGGTTATGGGTTTTATAGTTATCAATTTGCAAAACGGTGTTTTTAATACGCTCCAATTGTCATCTCTTTTAGAATATTAGCTCGTAGCAAATGTTGCAACACAATCCGCATTTAAAATCATTCCATTTTAAATTGAGGCCGAACAATTGATCCAAATATACCGTCCATTCATGTTATTTAGGACACTTACTTCCCATGCTATACCTCTACTAACGCCGATTTTCTCTGGGACTACTTTTCCCTAGTCTGATTCTTTTTCTATTATTAGCACATTAGACAAGCTAAGTTGAACTCAATGTTTGCCAAGTCCACTTTAATTAGTTCCACAACTTCAATGATACAATGTATGAGTTAAATATCGTTCAGCTTCTGCTCCATTTCCCAATAAGTAAAATCCCTCCAAAATATTAGTAAGCTGACCGATTCTTATTCCCAAGGATTGGGGTTGGGGAATACGCCCTTTTCCGGTGTTAATCCCAGGGTTTTCTTTGCAATTTTAGTCCGAATCGCCCAAAAATTATTTAAAGGTCACTTCGAGGTCACTCGTGGTCGATCTTTTATTTTCACGTTTAGAACCCCATAGGGGTCCTGCCTACCAAGTTTCGTCCATATCCCGTTAATACTTCCCAAGTTATCTCATTTAAGATGTCCATTATCCCTTTTCCTGGAAAAATGCTATTAACACGGGAAGGAGTCGCCGGAGAGGTTTTATTCACAGGGGTCTTTTTTCGAGGATGAGTTATAATGTCTATTGCCGCTGTAAAATCAATATGCCCTCATTGATTATTTTGCGTAAATTGCCCATCTCCGGTTTCAGGCGTATTTTTCCCAAGTGCTAATAACTTCCGGTCCAACAGCCGAATTTGGCTCAAACTATAATACATGATGTATCTTGTCCTTACCTATGATACCCCAAAGTTCTGGCTCTCTGCGTTCAACGGGGTCCGAGAAACGACTTCCGAAATCTTGGTGGGGGCTATTTGCATAGGGCATAGCACCGGAAGTAGGCGTCGAGGAGGTGAGATTCTTAACTTAAGCTTCCGTCAACTAGGTTTCTAACATACTATATTTTGGTTTCATTCCAACCGCTGATTGCTCAATTCTAATAGGGCTATTTGCACTATTTGCACTTCGGAGAACCGTTATCGCTTGGGGCCAGGGAGTCCGAGGGGTCTGAATTTTTGCATGCGCGTGTCAAATCATCTCCAGTATCCGTCGTCCAAGTTTCATAAAGCTAGCCCCAGTAGTTTTCATTTTCATACTTGAGATTGTTTTTTTATTCAGAATGATTTTGACTTCTTAATCAATTTTTTCAAATCATACTTGTTTAAGAAATCAGGAAAAAATGGAACATTCAATTTTTTTTCAGAACAATATTTTATCAGCAAATATTTTTTCTGTGGGTTATGGGTTTTATAGTTATCAAGTTGCAACTCGGTGTTTTTAATACGCTCCAATTATCATCTTTCTTAGATTATTAGCTCGTAGCAAATGTTGCAAAACAATCCGCTTTTAAAAACATTCCATTTTAAATTGAGGCCGAACAATTGATCCAAATAATGGGTCGAAACATCCAATTTATTTCAGTTGGTATTTGACATTAAAAGTGGGGGGGGGGGGGGGGGGTAAACAATTCTCAATTGGAACTCTATCTTAGCATCGGCGGTAAAACAATCCGCGCTGAAATCATTTTCTCACTATTGCATTTAGTGAAGTTAACTGATCTAGATATTGCGCTAATAAACGAATGTTCAAAAAAAAATCGTTTTCCATCTTTTGAAAGAATTTTCTAGTGGCAAAAATTACTCAACAGATATGTTTAAAGAAACTCAAATGAGTTAAATCAGCAATTGTTTTTGAATTCGGAAGAATATTTGCCAGAAAAAAATAATGGAAATAATCCTTTAACGGTACATGGGTAAAAAACATCGATTAATTTATTTTTCGACATAGGATGATGTTAAAAATGACAAAAAAACAGTTCAAACATCATTCAAGGGACTATTATTTTGTTAACAAAAAACCAGCCTAAATGTAGAATTTTAACCTTGTAATAGCGGGGTGCACTAATACTAGGTGTTCTACAATTCCGAAAGGGTTAAATTGATGGTCTTACTTCTATAAGAAAACCCGCGTCTCATTTCGCTCCATCGCATTGCCAACTTGCCCGTCGCAATACCAGCTCTACAGCGCAAGTCGTTCACGCAATCAATTCAACCCGGTACTAAACTCGAATTCGAGCGAAACTCGCTCGCACAAAAATTTCAACCCAACTAATTAACAACTTTGAGACACAACTATTCTTGCTTCAAGCATTAGCGTCCTCCACGGACCATCTATTCGTCTCAGCTTGCTCAATCGTTCTCATTCTAACTGAGAACCAACTACTCTTAATAGGAGCTCAAATTATTCTGCCTAAGGGTAGGCTATTTGTTATTCTCTATAATGTTTGTCTAAATGAGTTTTAACTAGAGTTATGTCGTCCGCACAAGTCTTGACATTTACTTTAGTAACGCTTTCGCAAGGTTTTTAAATAAAATCTTCCTCTGACGACACTAAACTTAGGTTCCAAGTTCATTATATGTATCACTACCTAAGTTGTGCAAATAACACGTTCAATTTCACCTCCAAACCGAGTTATGTTTAAATAACCAATCTCCCAGAGTTTTTTAATTAACCCATTGATGTACCGACCTCCCGAGGGTAGGGAAGACCCTTTTTATTGGTGGCTACTTCATTCCAAGCATCTAAAATTCCGCTCTTTACTCTCTTAAAATCCCGACATTCTAGTCATCGTGGGAACGTAATTCGTTAATTGAGGGCCAAATTGTACAAAACAGTCACCTCCGGCGAGCTGGGTAAATATACCGTCCATTCATGTTATTTAGGACACTTACTTCCCATGCTATACCTCTACTACCGCCAATTTTCTCTGGGACTACTTTTCCCTAGTCTGATTCATTTTCTATTATTAGCACATTAGACAAGCTAAGTTGAACTCAATGTTTGCCAAGTCCACTTTAATTAGTTCCACAACTTCAATGATACAATGTATGAGTTAAATATCGTTCA